TTCTTTTTATCCTACCATCGGTTTGTTGTGATCACTTTCAATGTATATGATATGCATAGATAAAACCTTACGTAATATCTTATCATCCTGAAAAAGATGACAGCAACGCTTCAATTAATGCATTGTTCGCTAAATTTCTAAATGCAATTATTTGTTGGGCTCTGAAAATTTCATGCTTTTTTAGGACAATGTGCGAATTTGGTATCTGTTTCAGGACTTACACCCCAAAACAGCTTTCGATGGTCCTATAAAAATTGTACAAATAAACCTCCCAAAACACTATCTTATTAAAGTTAATAAGACTTTCTTTAATATTAGTTTATTTCATCAGTAGAAACTGTAATTAAATGCATGCACTAAAGACCAGGAGAAATGTAAAGCTACTGAAAAGAATAAACACGTGAGTGGAACATCAATGCTGATATCGAACCAAAGAATTAGCGCTGGAGCTATATCGAAACTGCATGACTAACTAAATAACGTACCTTCTTCAAAAATGTATCTCTTTACAGTAACGTTTCCAGGCAGTTATGGTTTTGTCAAAATTCAGATGCTAATATCTGGCTTATGAAAGCCTTCAGTTGTTTAATGTGATATAGCCGTACAAGCTTTTATTCACTTATCTACAAAAACAGTGGCAGTGATAACTCCCATGAAAAACGTACATTTAAAACCACGTGGCTCAAAGGCAATTAAAATTGTTAACTTATTGCTACGACTTTTCATTTAACGCATCCGTTGCTTACTGACGCGTAAGAAAAAACGTTAAAAATTCAACCCAAATCCAACTGACACTTCAACCGTCTCATGTCTAACATCCGGGATTGGTTGTGGATCACAGAATGTGTAATTATTTCGAGGAACCGAGCTATATCACAGATATATGAAACACGCAGAGGCGGAAATTCAAGTTTATTTCAGCGGGGCTCATCATCAGTGATGACTCATCATGACTTTCAAACAAGAAGAAAGAGGCAACAAGACATAATACGAATGTAGGAAAACCGAATAAACTTCAATAATCTACACGTTTTTAATTAAAATACGATTTGAAGAATTCCTTGCCCACTGAAACCAAACATGGAAGTTTGAGGCATTTGGTGGCGCCGGGTATAAGTGGCACTCAACCCAAGAAATTTGGGACCACGCCCACTTTATATCAGAAAAACGTAATCGTCATCAATTTTAAAGTTTTGAAATCGGGAAGGCATAATCCACTGATCTGGTTAGACCCCCAAAAACTATCGACAGGTTTGGGTTGGTTGCAGTTTAAAGCGGTTCACAGTCCGCGAGCATTTTCAAATTCTTCAACTTTTACGCACGGAAACCAAGGAGTTAATACAGGGCCTCCGACAAAGGGGGGTTGAGGGGGGGCGGGGGCCATGGCCTTTTCATTTTTTGCAAAACAATAGAGCTTTTTTCAAAACCTTTTGTTATTGGTGTTATATTTTCCGTTAGAACCCCCCCCCCCCACTTTCGATCCTGTGTCGGAGCCTATGAGGAAGCAAGAATTCAAAACTGAATCTGTCCGATTTTCCGATGACTAGCATACTGTCTTTGTAACGGCCATCATGTCCAATCAACTTGTGATACCCAATACGGCATGGGTGAATACTGTAATCCTTTATGTAAATTGCAAGCCTGGGCATGAAAAATAAAGGTATAGTTTTTCTTAACATTTCTCTGTGGTATTGTCATAGATATTGTCCATCATCTCTGTGGTATTGTCTGAAAGGGTGTGGTTTCAAAATGTTAACCTCTTGTGGTCTTGTCGCTAGCAATACTTCCTGTTTATTTTCAAAGTACTTCCGTTAGGTACTCTTTTATACCAGAGACAATAATTATCTCTTTGCATCAAGAATGAAAAATAGGCGAATATTTCAAGAAAAACATGTTATCTAATTCTATCCATTCTATCCAAGCTGTTGTTTTCACAAAAATGTCCCTGAATTAATGATGTAATATTTGGCCTATTTGTTTCTCGCCAAAAACGTCAGCATTGTTTGTTTTTTTTATACATTTACGTATCCCTGTTCTGTTATTATTGACAACATAAGCAGAGCGAGCTTGCATTGCTATTTTAATACATCAATAACTTGGTTAGCTTTGCTATTCAATTCCACTAAGACTGTTTACTTAAACCCCAGCGAATGCTCAAATAAGCATGTACTCAAATAAAAACATCAGTGGGAGTTCAATGTCTTGATAACCCAAACATGGATTATCATATCTCAAATTAATTACACTTTTTTATAAGAATAATTTTATAAGAACACGGGCCTCAAAATTGGTCAAAAGCTAAGAACAAATCAAGAATAAGCAGAGGCTCAGCTATTGTAAAATGTAAATTTTTTTATAAATTTTCAATTTTGCATGCAAATGAAGGTTGTCTCAGTCACTTTGTTGGCAAATGGCTTATAAAAAAAGAGTGTATCTCGAAAGGAGAGCTACACAAGTCCGCATGAGTACTCGAAGCCAGAAAATTAAAAAAATTAATTGAAAAAAACAAAATGATCCATACTTTCAGGAAATTTCATCAAAATGTTTGGCTTGCTGGCATAAAAATTTAGGCAAAGAGAGTAAAAATATACTTGCCTCATGAAAGTAAAGCATTTATACGGAAGCGAAACACATGACAATGTCATGAACATTTGAAAACTAAAGAAACATCGACGAGTGACAATAATCTAATCTCCTAGCATAAAGAATTACATATAGGACTCTCTTAAACTCTCAAGTTACAATGAGTCTTGAATTCTCCCAACATTTGTTAGCTAACTGTCAGTACTTACCGAGATTGTGACACACCATGGAATGACGTCGGAAAAGTGACAGGTCACTCCACAAAGTAACCCAATTTAACAATACTCCCACGTGTCCACAGACTCAGTTGCCAAACCCAAATTTCTCTCTTCCGATTAAAAATAGTAACGAATTTACTTTCTCAATTTGGGGGTATCGGTATACCGCAACTATTTCTGTTTTAAGCAATTTTTAACAGTTCTAAGACTATATAGCTTCATCAGTGATAGGACAAGAGTGCGAATTACCCGTTGTCCGTGGAGATGACAATTTTAGTGGCTTTTCATAGTTTTGAACTTTGTAAACATTGTCACACTAACGTCACTATCTGATCGGGCCCAGAGGCCTATCCTATCCTATCTCATCGTATGTTGAGTGATGTTTTTTTTATTCCCTCAGATGTTGTAGTTTCTCTACATACGTGTGATTTATATTTTGAAGGATAAACTGCGTTCAGAATAGCGTATTAAAATATTGTAAAAGGACAGAATTTCGTCAAGGAAACTTTTGCGTGGTTGCTTTTTGAAATTCATTTACGTGCTTGACATTCGTTCACACCTTGACCAATTTCCATGTAACAGCCTGTCTTGTGATCTGCTCCTTTGTTCTGCTTTGCTTGACTGTCCTAATTATCTTAATTGCTGTCGAGTAAAGTATTTGTTGGCATTTTAAGTAATTCAGTCGTTGAATTTTTGTCGCTAGAGTTTAGACGTGATTTCAGATGTTCGAATAGCCGTTGTTATTTCGAGAAGTTTGAAGCATACCACTTTTGCCGAAGTGACCCGTTTAGCCGTTGTTGAATTAGATGAAACTATAAGAACCGTCGAGCCAAGAAATCTGGACACCCTTATCAAATTCTGTACTTTCTATTACTGCCGAATCTGCGAACACAAGCCTGTAAAACCCTTGTAAATTCAGTGCTTTTACAATATCGCAGAAAGTCTTTGCAACGATTTTCTAAAACCTTCAAGCTTATATACACGATATACGCTATTCTCGTTAATTTTTCTCCTTTGTTTATCTATATTTGTTCTGTAAAAGTATCCCAATAGATACGATAAAATATACACAAATTTCTACTTTTGCTATTGATTTTCGCAACATTTTGTGCAAGAGCCCCCTTGTTATTTTGATAGCACTACACAGCGGTGTACGAAGCTGATTTTCACAAACCTGAGATTTGGCGATGAATCTGCTTCCAAGAATCCTTGAACACCCGTTGAAGCATCAATCTTTTAACTATGTTAACATGCTAAGGAATACGTATGCTCCTTTAAGACCGGCTCCATTCACAGATATCATATTTAATGTCATTTGTCCAGTAAAGTCATAATCTTTCTTTCTTATGGCAAGATAACCTAATACGCAGGGTCGCACATCTCACAGCCCCTCAAACGCCACAGGCGATGAATTTATGTAACTATTATCTACAGGCAGATTCCAAGCTCCATTTAAGTTTTCAGAAGAATACAAATAAGCTTTTTATTTAACCAAGCAGGGCCCACGCCAGAGGAGGGCCCTGCCTAGGGCATAACTATGAATAAATGGCAAACCAAAAATTTTGATTGGCGATAATGAGGACAAAATAAGATGCTTTCTAGTTTAAAGGAAACTGTTTCACGTTTCACATGGATGAAATATAAAATCTTTTCTTGTTTGTATCTTATGCAGGGGTGTAGAGCTGGAGGGAGTTAATGCAGTAGAGTTACCCTTTGTTACAATTTGCTATTGGATTTGAAATTCCTTGCCATTGCCCCCTTGTTCTTTTGATATCACTACTCTCCTGATTTATACAGTTGGCTTGTCCCATGCCCAAAGTGTTAGAAGCAAAGAAGAAAGATCCCCTACCCTCTTTTGAAACTCCCGTCCTTCAAGGAAACTTTGGATGTGAGCTAAAATGCGAAATAACTTAAAAATATGATAAGTGCATGCCAGTGATAAGTCTTGCAAGCAGGAAATATATACCAGTTTAAAAACCACACAGTATCCAAACAAACTAAAGATTTTGATGAGTAGTTTGAAGGGCCTAATTATTATCCGCTGTTTGACAAAAGCTGACAGTAACTAACTTCTCCTTTCTAGCATGTGTGAATAGTTTTTAAAAAGGTATGAGGGCTTAGCTTCCTGAACATATAGGAAACATATATACGAGCTATGGATAGCATTTATACCAAGAGAAATGCTAAAAGATAAACAAATTTGAAAAGGTTAAAAATGAATAATACCATCAAACCATTATATACCAACACAATTTCTAAAAATAGCCACATCAATTGCTGAGCAACCAGGGTACTATGAAAAAGTTAATTCTGCTACTGAGAGTGTTAAGAGTATGAAAGTCAGTTGTTTCATCCTTTCCAAATCTACAATTCCAATTTCTTTGGCACTTCCCATGTAAAACCAGGTTTGAAATGACCATAAACACATGTGTCTCGGTAGATTGGCTTTCGCAATTCAAGCTCTCTGTAAAGGGAAAGGAAAGATAGAAGTAACAACCACTAGTTGAAGGATAGATTGGAGGATCAACAAATGCATCCAAATTTACCCAACTGAATTATCCCCTTGAAATTAGAGCTGTAATGAATAAATGACACCCTAATATTGTTCATATGCAACACCAATAGGAATTGGCCATCTCGATGAAGACAGTCAAAAATAACACCAAGCAACAGTAAAAAATAACACCAAGCAACAGTAAAAAATAACACCAAGCAACAGTAAAAATAGCACTAAGCAACACAAGAAGAGCAAAATAAAACCATTTGCTTACTTCACAATAACACCAGGCCTAAGGTCAAAGTTCTTCTTGACAATTCTCAAAAGCTCGCTTTGTGTAAGAGTGGTAGTTCCATAGTCAAAAACAGTGATAGATAATGGATGTGCAATACCAATGGCATAGGAAATCTGGATGAGGCAACGTCTTGCAAGACCAGCTGCAACAATAGATTTTGCTATCCAGCGAGCAGCATAGGCAGCTGATCGATCCACCTGAAGGAGTCATATTTCTATATTTTCATATCTATACCATATATTCATATTATGTTCTTAATTCATTAAGGTGTAAATTTAAAACTACTTTTTTACAGTATGGTGCTTGATGCCATATAGGCAGAGAAGTTGCCTGATATGTGCAGCTGGAAAAAGGTGTAAATTGCATAAATATTGTCAACATGGAATAACACAGAAAATTAGCTGCTATTATGTGTTACACATTTGTAGAACAAAGGCCCAAATTTTTGATCTTGGAGCTGGTTCTTAAGAAGGTAGCATTGTCTCTATAAAGATACAGCTTTTACACACAAAATTGTGATAGTTACACTAAAGAAAAACAGGCCTTTCCCGGAGACGCGCAAACCCCATGCAAAAATGTTTTGAGAGGGCTTTTTCCTGCCCACGCAGTTGTTTATAACAACGCTCTCATTGAATCCATTTTGTCTCACTCTCTAATGTTTTAAATAAATAACATTGTGTCAAAGAGATATATGGTTTTTATAAATATCGTTATAAGAAGGAAATTTCTGTTTCTTTTGACATCAAATGTTAACAAACTATAGATTTACATGTTACAACTAGCAATGGAATAGGAAATGGTTGTGCAGGAAAGGAATAACAGATATCATAAAATAGCAAGAATGAGAATAATTGTTACACAACATTGTCAAGTACGAAATTTGTGTTATGAATACACTCATTTTTTATAAGAAACACAGTATAAGAAACAACAACTGGGCAGTTGGAAAGGAAATTAAAAAAGTTTCAGAAATAATTCGTTTTTGCTCTTGACTCTTCGACAAGGTAAGAGATAAGCAGTTGTGATTTGTCCAAAACATAGAACCAATCATATACACTTTCTGAACTCTCTTGTTAGTTTTCATCCGCATTTCTGCTTCCCTGTATGCTTTGAGGTTTATGTATATGTTATTCGCCAATTTTTATCATGTTATTTTTTTGCTTTTCCGTGCTTTTTTCAGACGAAGAAACTCTTAAGAAATAGGGATGTACCGGATATCCGGTAGGCCGGATAATCCGGCGCCGGATTGCTGATTTTTTGAAAATCCGGTTCCGGCCGGATTTGTTTCCGAAATCCGGCCAGTTGCCGGATTTTCCAGAACTTTAATCATAACTAAGAAAATTTGGAAAACCAAGTCAGAATCCCTTCATACAGTGATTAAAAATGGATTTTCCAGAACTAAACAATATCGACGATAAAACAAGCGCCTTGAAAACAGATTTGAAATGAAAGTGCTCTTTATCACGAAACAGGAAGACTGGATGATATAATTCACAGATTTGGTCCAGGGTTGCCAGATCGGCTTTTTAGGCCAAATTTTTCACTTTTGGTTTTTAGATTTAGATTGCCTGGAAATGTTGTTTTTTGCTTACTACTTAAATTTGACCTTGTTTGCCTTTTCAGCAGACGTCCAAAATTAATAAGTAATTACTACATTCATAGAATAATTAGTAGTTAACTACAAAGTGTTAACCAAATTTCAAATTTTATCACCTAACCTAAATATTATCTTGATATTAGCAAAGGGTTTTGGAAAAAAGTAAGATTCTTATCAAAGTTAAGAAATTATCTAACAGGCACAAGCGTAGAAATATAACCAGTGCCTGCTTGATGGATTCTTGAGAGAGTTTTTGATTTGGCTCTTTATGAGCATTTTGGCTTAAATTGCTCATCAGTCTAGCCTTTGTTTGTAAATTCAATCTGGCAACCCCGAATAGGTCTCTTTGATCTTCTCGCTATACATTTTTTCGCAAAGTGGCTCAAAACTTTTTACTACTGAAAATTCTATAAATGGTCAGATTATCCGGTAGAATCCGGCCGGATATTCCACGAAGAAATCCGGTAAATCCGGTTCCGGCCGGATTCTGAAAATCCTGATCCGGTACACCCCTATTAAGAAAGAAGGAGTACTGGAATTTCCTATACCATTAAGAAACTGGAGTACTCCAAGTCGACCTCCATTTCTAATATAAGAAGTGTGTTTCAGTTATTCTTTCTTGAATTTTAAAAGCGAATCAACTTTATTTTCCATTACCCTTTGAATAACATTGTCTTTCTTGCTCTCTTTCTTTTTTAATAGAGATGAGTTTCGTTAGATACTACTCAATATATCTGTTTTTCTACACAAAACGTTGCCATTTTGCAAAAAAACCAGATATCTCTTTTGTCATTTTAAGGAGTAGTGACGCACACAAAACTGTCTTCTTAACATAAATCATGTTTACAAGTAGAAAAGATAATTTATTTTTTGGCTTGTATATACTCAAATATAAATAGATAAACAACAAATCCTGCAAGGGCTAAATAGCCCACACAGCCAAACCAGCAGAGGTCTTTTTTAGCCCGCATGCTTTTTATTCCCGAAGAGGCCTGGAAAAATCTCCCTTATCCACCTTAACAAAAACTATGATCTGAAATCTAAAAACAGAGGTTGTTTCAAAACTAATATGTTTCATGTCACGCAAGCACAAGCTGAAGAAAGTTTTCAAGGTAAAAACTTAATATATTGAACACTGTAATATATTTTACACTTGCCTTTGAAAAGTCCTTTCCTGAAAAGGCACCACCACCATGAGCACCCCAGCCACCATAAGTATCTACAATGATTTTCCTACCAGTAAGACCAGCATCTCCCTACAAGCAAAGTTAATATCTTCAAACATGAGAATTAACACACTTAGTGCAGGCCCTTAGAGACAGGGCACAAAAGCTAAATCAAACAACTGCTAGTGGGCCAAGAACATTTTAAGAGCTCCACCAGTCTAGTGCAGACCTGGGAATTTTGTTCTGATTATATTTTCCCATTTGACCTACACCACAATGTCATATACTTTTATAAACATTTGTGGTATAACTAGATGTTTCTAATAATCAATAGCAGCTGAAATATTTATAGTATAAATTACCCTTTTCTTTTTAGTCTTACCTTTTTCCTCCATAAATCCCAACAGCTCTTTTTAAATCATTTCTTTCCATTACTGTCCATTTCTTATCAATGTTGCTTATTATCAATATTTGTCGTTCTGACTTATGAGAAACAGCCATCCGGTGTGAAGGTCATCAAAGGTTTACAGAAAAATGGACTTTAAAGAAAATTTGTTGCAGATTGCAGAAATCTGGCAATTTCTAGACAGAACGAAAGAACTCTAGACATTTGCCGGATGCAGATTTTTTTTCAAAAATGATGATTTGGATACAGAATTTTTATAAAGTTTTAAGTGCTTGTGGAATTCTTCACCTGTAACTTCACTTGTAAAAACATCTTTGAATAAGAGTCCTATCAACATTTTAAATAAGTTGAATTTTGGCTAAAAATGACCAAAACTGCAGTTTTTTATCCCCTTGGTGGCCTCCTTTTTTGATAGCACTGGTGTTCTAAAAAAATGTTCAGCTAGAAGGCCTCGAGGGGAATACTTGGCCAAGCTTTGAGAAGATGTGAATTGAACAATAGTGACATCTGTTGCTAACTTTTCCCTAAGTGTTCTAACTTTCTTTTGCAGACGATGACAAGTTTTTTGCAAGGGCAGTCAATAGCCAAGTTAATAATTTGGTGAGGGTGATGGCATGGGTGACCATTTGTGTGGATCGAAAAGGCCTGCTTTAGATTGAACTAGACAACTAATGTATTGAGCCATATCTATTCCTAGCAGTCAATGGGGCTAAGTATGTCAATCATCTATGCTACTGTTCCACTCAAGGGCAGCTAATTTGCAAAAAAGATCCTTACAGCATTTATTCCGCAGACATATTATAAAAATTTTCCTATCTTTTGAAGTTCATTTCTTTCAAGTTGAAATGAATTTGACAAGAAACATCTAAAAGTTTTCTCATTACCTGTTAAGCTTTTGAGTTTAGCAGACTTTATCATATATATCTGTGTTAATCTGAATCAAAACAATGGTTCACCTGTGGACCTCCTTCATGGAAACTGCCAGAAGGTTGCATGTGGTAAATTGTTCTCTTATCCAAGTATTTTGCAGGGATCACAACCTGAAAAATGAGAATAAGAAAGTTTGGTCGTTCAAACTTCAACAACAGATTTTTAGAATTCTAGCTTGTTTCTTTACAAGAAGCTGCATAATAAGCAACTAGGAGAAAAAGATAAGTTTTAAGTAGTGGTTTTTATGTGTCAAAAAATGTTGTTCTAACCCTGAATTATAAAAAGCAGGGCGTAAATCTTGCTTCCACTTATTTTCCAGCTACAAAAAAGGGAGCACTGAGAAGGCTAAGACAAAATATTTTGGAATCATGGTTTGGTTAGTGTAAACCTTCTCACAGTGGCTCATGATATACATTGGGCATGCAATGGCTAAAAAAGATGCACAAAAATTAAATACTTTTGACCCCTTCCCCCTTCATACTTTCGTGGACACACCCTCTGCATGGGTACACTTGTTCAATTTTCTAAGGAAGATACTTGATCATGACTCCTGCCTTGTTTATAGGTTAGTCCTGAGCATTTCAGCCTTTTGCATAGATCAGCTTTCTTGGGGTTCTCTTGTAGTTATGATTTTTGAAATGGAACAAGTCCTAACTCATTACCTTGACAATTTTTTCCATCAACTCTTTTTTAATGTCTTCTAAGGTAATATCAGGGTCTGTTTGAGTAGAAATGACAACAGTATGAACTCTAAGGGGGACGCAGGCTCCATCATCCATTTTGTACTCAACAGTGACTTGTGTTTTAGAGTCAGGCCTCAACCAGGACATGGTTCCATTGCGGCGGTTCTCTGCAAGTTTCTTATTAAGTCCATGGGCTAAAACGACAGTTAAAGGCATAAGCTCCTCTGTTTCATCTGTTGCATACCCAAACATGAGACCTTGATCACCAGCACCAATGTCCTCTTCTTTATGGTTAATGTATACAGCCTCTGCGATTTCCTGACTCTGCTTCTCAATACCAACTAAGACATTACATGTTTTGTAATCAAAACCTGCAAGACAAGAAGTGTTGTGAGAGACATTTTTAAAGAAGATTTTTTGAATGACTAAACTAAAAGAAAATACCCACAAATTGTCTGCACAATTGGATCAGGGCCACAAACAAAAGTAAAGATTCAAATAACTGTGTTCTAATGTCCATAAATATGTCTGTGTTCAAATTATCCAATAATTATCCAAACAAAGGTACAACAAAGCCGAAAGCCCTATAAAATTTACCTTTTGATGAGTCATCATACCCAATATGTTGGATTGTGTCTCTTATTACTTTCTGGTAATCAACTGTAGCATGGGAAGTTACCTCACCAACAACCATAACCATTCCTGTCTTTGCAACTGCCTCTGAATATAAAATTATACTGGTTGTAGATATAAAACAAATGATAATTGAGTATACTAAGGGAAAAATGTAAATTTTCCTGGAAGAAAGAGGCCAACTTAATGCTGCAAGTTGAGTAGGTCAGCAATAGAGAACATAACTAGAGACGCTGGCCAATTCAATAACAAGGGTTACCAGAGACACTGGAAGAGCTGTAGAGCAGGAGGTTAAGTGCAAAGAAAGGGGAAACCAAAATATCAAGGTAAAGAAAATGGCTAAATTTTGCAGTTGCAACAGGGTAACTGCCCCCTGCTTTGGTGTCCCTAAGGGTCATTTAATATGAATGTTGGTATCAGCCAAGGACGACTGAGCACATAACAGATTTCAGGGGCTAAACATGCTTAATTCGAGAGCAAGGTGATTTTATATATGGTTTTAGGTATTATTAGGAGATTATTTGGAGCCCCCTAAGCCCCCTCCCCTCCCCCATGCTTCTATGGTCCATGATATCAACATATCATTGTATCGTGTCATCGTATCATCCTATCGTATCAACGTATCATGTTACAAAGTATCATGTGATCATGTAGGCAACAAATCCGAACAAACCCAAGGAGACTAGCGTGATGAAATCTGATACGAAATAAATCCATGTTTTCATGTTCACACTCTGACAAAGCTAATCACATGACATCTATGACAAGGTCTTCTGGCCCCATTAAAATGGTCACGGGGCATTGACATACATACCGCAAGCAACTTTGGCGTTCGGGTCCTGGGCAAGGTGAGCATCTAGGATGGCATCCGAAACTTGATCGCATAGTTTATCTACAAATAGACATCAAGACTGAATCTTAGCTCAAAACGAATGCACGGTTGTTGTTCAAGCCGGCGCGTAGGAAACTCCCCTTTCGCGCTTTATTCTAAGAAAAGAGCTCGCTTTTTAATTGCGACAGCTACGATGTACGAGGAATTTTCCCCAAAAAGCTACGGAAAATGGCAAAGTCATTTCGAAACCACACCGGCCTTTTCAGTTTACTCGTCACACCTTCTCAACCACGTGCCCACATGCCGGTAAAATGATATGAATTTCATCATCTTTAACTTGTTCAATAACAGTTCGATGCAACTACACCATCATGCAAAACAAAACACTAAATAATAGTTAGAATTATCATAAAATACTTTTCGAAATTGCATAAAGTTGTTAAATTTACGTTAATAACAAAGTGAATAAAAAATTGTAATCTAGTAACAAACGGTTCTACGTAAAGGCACAACAGAGTCGAGTAAAAGTAACTTGTGGCCAACTGTTATACCCTGTAACAACACATTTATAAAAGTAGCTAGCTGAAAAGAACTTTCAAACGTTCAGTCAAGAATATATGCGGTTCAAATAACAGTTATATCAGCATATCAGCGATTTATAAAGCTGCCAAGATACAGCCGCCACATGGAAGACTGTTACAATTTAGCTTAAATAATAACTTGCCTGGGTGGCCTTCACCAACCGATTCTGAAGTGAACAAGAAGGTTTTTTCTGAGTCGTTTTTTGTGTTATTATCCATCTTTCGTGTGTTTAGAGTTGTGTGCAGTTGTAGGTGAGGTTTGTATGTAGGTTACACCTCTCTTGCACCGACCCACCGAAGCCAAGATGCCCTTGGCTTATCAATTTATAAAGCCCTTAAACCGCATAATAAATTATGACATAAATTAGCATGGACTTCTTCATTTGAAATGAAGTGTAACTGTATTTAAATGAGAAGGCGATCACTTTTTGCATTTGAAACTTTGATATCAAACCTGGCTATATGCAAGGCTAGGGAGAGGTTTTGCAAAAGATGATTTTTTTCTCATCAAAACCTATCCATAAGGCCGACACGCATAGATCTTGCAAATATCGAATATGAAAAAAAGTTAATTTTCTGACTTTCATTCTTTGTTCTTGAATCAAAATTGATAGGAATTCAACAATTTGCTTCGTTCGCCTCAAAGTATCACTCTCAGGAAGATTGCAAATTTTAGGCCCTCGTCCATCGAGAAATAGACATGGCGAATGACTTCAGGTGAGAGGTGACTTAATTTGCTTCAATCAAACTTGCCTTTCAATATCTAAAATCACAATGCAAATTAAAAGTAAGTATTTGTTCCTCTGAACATTGGATTTTGATGTGACGGTAGATATATAGAGTTTGTGTAAACCACCCTAGCCTTAACTGCCTGTCATAAAATACAAGACTTCTCTTTTAGAAAATGAAAAGGTTTTGAAAGTAAATACATAATTTTTACCTGGATGGCCCTCTCCAACAGATTCAGATGTGAATAGAAAATGCTCTTCAGGATGCGAGTGGTCTGCCTCGTCCATCTTGTTCGTCAGTCCAGACACCTTCACAGCTTCTAGGCCACGTGAAAATAAGAGAGGCGAGGTCGGGGATGGCATTTAGGTCAGCTTCTTCACGAGATGTCTTTCACCAGGGCTGAAGACAATAGAAACATTTGATGTCCAGTTTTTATTGACGTCCTATTCTATTGATGACAACAAAAACTGCTGATGCCAATTCAAATTGCACAATAGGGTCTCCCATTGGCTGAAAAAGTTCCCGGCACTGCTCATTTGTTTCTTTTATGATTCAAATGTTAGAATATATCAAAGAAAAGCTTCCAACGATTCTTTTTTGCACCACATGATATGTGTGTTCATTCTAAAAAACAGCATCAACACTTTAGCAAAATGATTTTCTTCAAATTCTAGCCAAAACACTACGAGTTTAAGTTTTAATGACCAGAATTTCCATAAGATAAGTTTTTAATTAGAAAACTTAGTTAATGAAAACATCCAACCAAACTTTGGCCATAATATTCAAAACTTCCGCCATTTAGACTAAAGTATACTGGAATTAACATATGCATTATTGCAATAATCTATGCAAGAATGAAACCTAACACTGAAATTCTAGATTCATACCTAAAATAAAGTAATAACTACTTTGGTTCTTAGTTTCAAGGCAGAATTCTAGAGTCTACGAATAAAGAAAGTCAGAAGCATTCATTCTGCTATTTATATTGATATTAAATGAGATTGTTAGGGAAAATCGAATGATCGGAAGCCGCAACAGTGTCGCGTGTTTAGCTAATTTCAATGGTCTAGCACGACCGATGTTATCAAAAACAAGTTTGACTAGTTTGAAGTCTAGCACAGTCCAAGGTGTGTCCTATTGATTATGGAAGTACAGACCCAGACTCGCCAAACCTGTTTAACCAGAAAGGTCAGACAAGTCCCCGAGAAATCTTGTCTTACTGGTTTGACAGGGTCTTTGATGGACCATTGATCCGTCCTGTTCATCGAAGACCAAAGTCCGACATGAAAACAAAGAACTCACGATTTTTCATATTTACTTACGGTCTTAAAAATCTTTGCATAATCGCGAATGCTGGTTATAAATAACTCAGTTGCCATGCAATCTTGTGCACACAAATAACAAGCTTAATTTCCTTCTGATTCTCAGTAATATTGCAGATTGAAACTGGGAAATGTATATATCGTTTTTTCTCTAAAGAACGCCGCGGCGTTTATTACAAATTCTAAATTTTGGATGCGCCGTTCAATAGACGCGGCGTTTATCAGAGGCCGGTTTTCAACACAAAATGAAAAGTTTGTCAAGGAAAATTGCAGACTTTAAAAAATGTTTCCTTTTCCCAAAAATACGCAATAAGGATTTTATGAACAATTTTTTAAAGTTCACAAAAGATGTGTTCACGTTATGGAAATGTCAAGCAATGTCAATATCCCTGTGTCCGTCAGAGTCCTCGTCTCATGACAACAACTTTCATTGCTTTCGAATAGTAAGCGTATTAACTATTCGTTACTTCTTGTTTGGTGTGTTTTCTAACGAACACAGCTTTTCAAGATGCAGCGTTCAATAGAGGACGGCGTTTATCAGAGGATGGTACGCTAGTAAAATTAGCGTAGAGTTTTCGATTCATATTTGACGTTTTGTTTTCTGAAGAGCGTCGGACGAAAAACTATGCTATACTATGTTTCAAATTTTTCCAATTTTTTCTCTTTCAAATTATTATTATTATTATAAAACACCTTTTTCATAAATGTATCTACTTTGTGTAACTCACAGGGCCTCCGACGAAGGGGGGGGGGAGGGGGGTTTATGTAATGGTCTGCAACATTCTTTCTCATTTCTTTCAGAAAGATACAAATTAAATTGTATGCCATGCCATGCCAATATTCTATAAACACGCAGTTTTTCTCTAAGAAACTCGCTATAAGAAACGAATAAGAAACTTAAGTACACGAATAGGAATGGACCCTGAAAAATCAAAAACTGCGAAATTTCGTGAAAATCTATCGATATGATTGATTGGCTTGCGCAAAACTTGAAATACAGAGAATGAAAATATACTTCCTCATTTGAGAACGGAAGTGAAAATCTTGACCGCAAAGCAATGGAATCATATCATTGAACCACAGAATTTATATTCTGTGATTTGAAGAGTCTCATTTTTGCAGCTGCGAACAGGGCCGTCGCTACAGTGACGTGGGGATGTGGTACCCCGTTGGAAAATATTTCATTACAGGGCTGCTGGAGCCAGGGGGCCACGGGGGCACAGGCCCCCCTGTTTGTAAAAAGTATAAACAAGTGCCCCTTTTTCGATAAATATATTGTGTGTACTTTTTCAATGCCAAATGTTCTGCCTTTAGAAACTAAGTAAAATAACATAACTCTTGGCGTTTTTGGAGGACCATTCACTGAAATTTCCTTAAATTTTACCTTGGTCTTGATGCAAAAAACTCAAGCTCCTTGAAGGAGACTGCCATTTTCACGAGAAAACGTCCTTAGAATGTCTTCAGCAACAAACGCATTTGTTAAAGTTCCGTATCAAGTCCCCGGCTGGCGCAGTAAGTTGGTCCAATGTATATCGTGTGTGTTCCTGAAAGTAGAAACTGGACCCCTATATCTGATTCTGGGTTGAGTAAAATGTACTCTTTTGTGTGACGTTGCCAAAATTGTGGAACTCTTTTCACTGAGAATATTCAAGCTTGAGCAGGAATTTTTTATACCAATTCATAGTAGAACCATTCCTTTTCTTAAACTTATGTCAAGACAAGTTAAAATGCAGAGTTCACTAAATTTGATTTTAACAACAATCCCTTATTTTTCTTAATATATATTAATAAAATCAGACAGATGTAAAACTATAACTGCAACATATTGTTTTCTTCACAACACTGTGTTAAATGTTTTTATGAAAACATGAAAAAGTTGTGTCCCTGCAATGAGTACATGCTAGGAAAGACTTAAAAAAGGACTTAAATTTCTTATCTAGGATTAAAACAATTTACAAGACAAGATGTACTACAAAATTTGTTGTACTTCAATTTGCCATTGATTTACCTAAAGAATAGTCTATAACATCATATCAGAAAATTCATGTCCTTTTGTATACCTCTGAATGATTAAAAAAGCAACCCTATTTTCAAGATTCTATGTCCCAGAATTTCTAGTTTTCAGACCATGTTTTCATAGAGTTTTTCGGAACTCGCGTGTACTACACTTGACCAACTGACTGAGCCCGCCAGGATCAAGTCTAAGGAGTCTAAGGAGAGTTAATAACTTATTTCGTTCATAGTCTGATGAGATAAACCTAATCAATGATGCAAATTAAATTTTGTATGGCAGTGAAAAATGTGCCCAAACCTCCAGCCGATGGCGTGAAGATGACTTAAATTCAAAATTTTGTAGCTTTTAAAAAATATATCATTGAGGTGAACAAATTTATGTGTTTAAGTGGCGATGGGAAGGCGCAAATACCAAGGGAGATTGAATTGTTTAAATAAAAGAAAGAAAATTAAAATATTTATTCGAAAGGGCTTTCGATAATCATAGAGACTGAGGCCCTGTTCAATCGATAGCGGATTCATTTCATATCGGATTCACTTACCCAATCCGATACGAATATCAAGCTCTGTTCACTTTCAGCGAAGATAGTTCTCACTATGTCCAACGTGTGTAATTATTTTTATAAATGTCTAAATTGACATGAAATCTGTACCATTCTTGGCACTTACAAATATTTCGGAAAAAAGATATTCGTGCCCTTTTTATTTGTTTTGCCCCCCCCCCCCTGTTCAAACCTTCGTCCGGCGGCCCTGCGTTATAAAATCGAGGAGTTTTTTACCATGTAGGGGTGCTTCGTGAGCAAATTTTCAGATTTGTTGGCAAATGCAGGCTGGTTATGAGTATTAAGCCATTAATATTGAACAAACATTGACGTTGTGTACTCGAAATTCTTTAGAACCCTTTGGGAAACTTCAATTCTCATTGCTTTTCAGAGCTATTTAAATATGACGTCAATACTTTTAATATTGGGCTCCTATTTTTAGTTCTTCATGCTAAGAAATTTCCAAACAGTAACAATTTGTTGGGGAAAGTTTCCGCAGCTGCAAACAATGAGACACTCCGCTTTTTTGTTTTCGTGACAATAAAAAAATATTTGGTTCATTTAGTACACTGTTATAAAGGAATTATACTACAGTCTGGCAATGGTTGGAGGGCTCCTGCCCCTCCCCCCCCCCAGCCCCCGTTTCCAACGAGCCTGTATCTATAAGAATAATTCAAGCTAATTCTATCCTTACATTTAACGAGAAAGTAAGAAGCCAGACACCCTGACCCCCCTGTGAAGCTGGCCCTGTTCTTGGGGGAGTGGGGAGGCAAAGAGTTGTTACATTTTGCTTTGAGAGTCACTGGTCTCAAAAAAAGACTGGATCGAGCAACCTATTGCTCGAAAGACTGGAGCATGCGATCGTTCGCAAAAAATCAAACCTTGCGAACAGGTCAAAATCGCATTGCGAACGTTCGCGTGCGAATTTCAGACAAAAGATCGCATGCGATTTGCGAATTGCGAATGATGTGGAAATAGGCCTTATCGATCTTTCTCAAAAATGGACCACAACATTGAAATATTCATCTTTAGATTAGTTTATACTGAGAAAGTCACGTTTTTTGGACCGTTCGGTCTACTTTGTTTTGAATATTTAGTTATTTCTTTAGATTTGACCGGAATTTGCTGCTGCAGTTAAAAAACTTCACTACAGCAACAAATCCCTCTGATGAAGCCCCGTATGCTGGGGCGAAATATTAGCCATCACTTATTTGTATGTTTGTTGCCCTTATTGCGATTTCATCCTGTACCGTATGAGGCGTAGCTGGAGAATGTCGACAGGGACACAGCTTGAGAATGGTGAATTTCCTTAATTTTGGTACACTGTCCTAAAGTTTTGATGCAATTAAAAAACCAATGAGTTGAGTGGGCTGAGTGGGCCCGGGTTCAGTCAGCCCGGGCTCAGTCAGCCAGGTTTGAGTCAGCCAGGTTTGAGTCAGCCAGGTTTGAGTCAGCCAGGTTTGAGTCAACCAGGTTTGAGACAGCCAGGTTTGAGTCAGCCCATATTGATTGATCTCAGTCTGATTGAGCCCAGATTTATTGGGTCAAGGTTCAGTGGGCGCAGGTTCAGTGTGCCTTGGTTGAGTCAGCCTGTGTTCATTGGGCCCGAGTTGATTGAGCCTGGGTTGATTGAACCTAGGCTGATTAACCCCAGGTTGAGTGGCCCTAGGTTGAGTCAGCCCAATCTTAGTGGGCCCGGGTTGATTGGGCCTAGGTTGTTTTAGCCCAGATTGACTAGGTCTATCTCGGCTCGGGCTGAGTGGGCCCGGGCTGAGTCGGCCCGTGGTTGAGTCAACCAGGGTTGAATAGGCCCGGGTTAAGTCAGCCAGGTTCGAGTCAGCCAGGTTTGAGTCAGCACAGATTGACCCATGTCTAATTGAGCCCAGATTGATTAGGTCTAGGTTCAGTGGGCCTATGTGCAGTGGGCCTTGGTTGAGTCAGCCCGGGTTGACTGGGCCTGGATTGATTGAGCCCGGGTTTCTTAAGCCTGGCTTGATTGAGCGCAGGTTGATTGGGCCTAGGTTGAGTAGACCTAATTTTAATGGGCCTACAGTGGGATGAGTAGGCCTAGGTTGAGTTAGACAAGCAGAGCGCCACTAAAGCCCCCCCCCCAACCTTTAAAAGATTATTTTTTTTAAAAAAGAGTATGATTTTTTAGCTCTCTATCATTTGTCCATTAAGCAAAATCTAACGATTTATATTACAACATTTTTTCTTGGTCTTCCTACCGTATGATGGCATTTTCACTTCAACTCCAACTCCTATCACTAGAGTTTTATCATATCTCCTCCCTTCCCAACTTTTCCCAATAAACGATGATCAGTTTTCCCTGAAAAACGTCAGATTGTATAACCTTAGTTGAGTGGTATAGTACTTTGTCAAATTTAAGCCAAATAGATGTACTTCCAATCATAAACAGCATAAACAGAGATAGTACTTCCAATTTTGAGGAACTTTTAACTAAAAGTAACTCAGTATCTATTCACTAGAAGAATTTGCAGCTGCTCCTAACAGAAATATATAAAACCGTAAAGAACTTGAATCAGTCTTTTATAGCAAAAATATTTTTTACTATAGATGTGCCATATGCCCTTCATGGCGGTAAAAACCTTGTTTTGCCGGGGGCTAGGACGAATTTATATGGTATTGATACTATCAGATTTATTGGTCAAAAATTATGGCAGACTTTGCCAAAAGAAATTAAAGAGTCCCGATCACTGAAATATTTAAAAGAAATATTAAGTCCATCAAAACTTTGGACTGCAGCTGCAAATTGTGCAAAGATTTTGTTCCAAATCTAGGTTTTTGTAGTCAATATATTTTGTAAATTGTACTTAGTACATTTTGGCCTTAATTATATAGTTGGTCTTAATTAGCTAAACGCTTTTTTCTCCGCCAACTCTAAATAAATTGTTTATTATCATATATGATAGATGTCGATGTCTTTCTAGGCAGGGCCGCCGCCAGGCCACGCCCTGCCTTTGCCCTCCATCGGAAATTGAAGGTGAAAACGGGCTTTATACAGCGCTTTGAAGCGTGGTTATCCCCGCAAACCTTCAGTCTGGTATATCCATGTAAATCTTCCCCGCAAACCTTCAGTCTGGGCTTCTTTTTATGCACAATAGGTGTGATTGACTGCAGTGTTTTGTGTCAATTAAAAGCGAGTGAACTTCTGAGCCCCTCTTTCTCGATATATCTTGTTCAAACTGTTACCCAAAGCCGTGACAGATTAAAGCCTTCGTTCTATGTTATTTTGTTTTGACGGACCAACGTTGCTAGCCTGAGTTTAAGATTGTCGAAAAATGAATCAAACATTAACAACACAGAATTACTTTCACATATTTTAACATCAAATTTAGGACCTTTTGGGGCTCTTTTGGGAGAAAGCATGGAATGACGACGCGTCATCGTTGAAGAATAAAAAAAAATAAATTTGAAAATGGCTTTGAAAAAAGCAAACATTTTACGACATACTAATAGCCTACACCCAGCCCTCCAGTTTACGTTTGAAAAGGAAGAAAATGATTCCTTGCCATTTTTAGATGTTTTGGTCGAAAAGTCTAACACTGGATTTCTTACCAGTGTATATCGCAAGCCTACTTTTACCGGTCAGTTCATACGCTGGAATTCATTTTGCCCAAAACAACGCAAAGTCAACCTTGTCAAAACATTAGTACATAGGGCACTTATGATCTGCTCGAAATCTAAACTGCACGCTGAACTGGAAAAACTCAAAACGATCTTCTTGGACAACGGCTATCCTGAAGACGTCATTTTATCTTATACTAAGGAGAAGATCGCAAGTTTTTCGGCTGTTCAAAAGTTTGGTCCGCAAAAGTGCCCAGTTTATTTGAAACTACCATGGATTGGTAACACTTCCTTGCGATTCGAGAGTCAGATTAGGCAAGCCATAACCAAATGTTTCTTTGCTGTCAATCCTCGGATTGTTTACAGCACTAGGAGAGCCCTTCCATCCATTCAAAAGGATTGCGTTCCTACCAAACAAAAAAGTTCCGTCATTTATGAATTTACGTGCCAGTGTGATTCTGGCTACGTAGGACGCACAACCCAAAGATTGGGGGATAGGATAAAACAGCATGTTCCTTCCAACATACGAAACAAAACTGCCCCTCAAAGAGAACAGCCTCCTCGATCTTGTAGGTCTAGAAACACTGTTAAAACAAGTGATTCTGCCATTGCTCAACATCTTTTAGATAACCCAGATTGTGCAAAGCTCTATAATGACGACATGTTTCGGATAATTGGCAGAGCCCGGTCGTCCTTCCATCTAGCAGTTTTGGAGTCAATCTACATAAAAACGAAAAAGCCGCCATTGTGTAGACAAAAGGAGTTTGTTTTCTCTCTTGGACTCCATTGGTAATTTTTCTTTAGGCTCGCGGCACTGATTGGTCAACTATACCGGTCTTGTGCTTGCGTTTTTCTGATTGGCCCATTTCGATCCACAACTGGGTATATATTTTTCCATTGTGTTTTTTCGGAACCTATTCTGACGTTTTATGCTCTGAGGAGTGTCAGACGAAAAAGCTTTTAGTATGTCGTAAAATGTTTGCTTTTTTCAAAGCCATTTTCAAATTCTGTACCGCAAAAAAATTGTTCAAAGATAAATTTCCAATACACCAGTACTTGGGCCCAAGCAGGCACTGCCCCAGCTGTTGAGAGTGGTTCAGAGTTCGGTCCTTGCCTCATTTTCAAAATAATCCAATTCAACTAGAAAACGCGAAACAGCATTTCTTTTGCGAAAACAACATGGCGGTGTCAAAGAGTGCCAATACATATAATCGCCAAAACTGGGAGGAATCGGTAAGCAATTTCCATACTTTACTCATATATCAGCGAAAAAGTAAAATGCTATTTTGGGGTAACAATGATTTACCCTAAGGGGGGGGGGGTAAGCCCAAGAGCCCAGCCTTGCCGCAAGAAAGATGAATTTATGTTATCACAAGTCAATTCAGTTCAGTCCAATTCAGTTTCATTTGTTTTAAAATTACTAAACATAGAATATTCAACATTGAAGATAAATTAAAACATTAAACACAATAATCATAGGTGAATCTATTTTAAATAACATACAACAATGAAACTCAATTATAATTTTAGTATAAGAGAAGTACTGTCAGTAGCTCATCTCTGTTTCACCGTGAACTCTTCAAAATTTTGTGGGAAAAATCGCATTTGAGATAATCTCGGGAACAAATTCATGTAAAAGTTTACTTATCAAGTCTTCATCAATTTGCAATTCCTGAGAATGTTTTATTAACACTTTTGGCGCGCAAAACATCAGTTGGTTTTAACAACACAAACAGCATCAGACTTATCAGGCCCTTTCCCACCCCAAAATTAATTTTGATTGATTGACCAAATTATTTTTTGAATGATATGCCGATTTTGATATGTTTTAAAGGGTGTTCAGCCCCTTAATAGCTTGTTCTTTGGGTATTCGTGGGGTGTTCTTGGGGTGTTCACCCTGTTCTTGGAGTGTTCAGTCTTTTAGAATCGATGCTCAAATTTATCTGAATATCTGTTTCAATGAATCCAGGAGAAAGAAAATGTTAACTCCCATTTTTGTGGATATTTGATAAAAACCTGATTTGAGACATGAGTGAATTCTACATTTTCCCCTGGTGCCCCTAAGCAAAAATAGATAATTGCATCATTTTGCTGATGTAGATCTAGGTTGATAGGACAATAAGGCATTCACAACAAAGGTTGTTATGTAATTTTTGTACTTATACTTATACTTATACCTATACAAATTTTGTATAGGCTCATAACTTGTAGCAAAATCCTACAGAGACCACACAGGAAAAATGGAGGGCTGAGGGGCAATTTTTGAAACAAAGAAATCCAAGTCAAATGTATCACTTTTACTCAAGCAGAACCTGTCATTACGTTGGAATATCAATAATTTATATATGTGTTTTTGAGAAATACACTAGGGTCTGTGTTGAATATTTTGTCTTTATAATAGTTGTCTATTTGATTCTTGAAGCTGTTTATGCTTGATGCATTTACTATCTCCTCTGGCAAACTCTTCCAGTAATTGTTGACTCTGTTACTATAAAAACACTTATTTTTGCATTTTTATGATAAGGTAAAATAAACTTTATGGATTTGAAGATTAAAGGCCTTGAGTCATAATAAATAGACCTTCTCTAACCCATTCACTCCCGTTGACATCAATTGGTGTCAAAGAGTGTTTGGCTCAACTCCCCAGAAATGTCAAATGACATTGCACATGTTTTTGCATATTTCCCCATGAACGTCGTTTGATGGTTTGAATTCTTGTTGCTTATTGGCTCATTTATACTTGAGTGATTGTTCTCGAACAAAAAGGAAACACTAAAGAAATAATTTTTCTTTGTTTTTATGCAAAAATATGTATATGGTCCCATACTGAAATTGTGAGAAAACCGTTACGAAAGCCAGTCCGTTAATCTTTGTCAACAATGGAGAATCTGCTTCGCGACATCTTTGGTAGCAGTGACGAAGAAGAAGAGTTTCTTGGGTTTTCAAACGAAGAGCTTTTGGCACAATCTGATATAGATGTTTCAGAAATATCAGACAGCAGTTCATCAGAATCAGATGTTGATGAAAGCCCTGACCAAAATTTTAGTCGCACTCTTTCTCGCGTTGCGATATCAGACTTCAGCGGAAGGGAACCCATAGGCCCAACGAATGTTCTCGCAAGAGAGAAAAATGAACTAGATTTCTTGGACCTATTCTTTCCGTTACAGATCTTTGAAATCCTTGCGGTTCAAACAAATTTGTACGCTTTCCAAAAAAGCCAAGGGACCCAAGACCCGCTGTGGACCGAAACCAGTTTTGCTGAACTTCGGACATATTTCGGCATTCTCACACACAATGGTTACTGCAATGACTTTAGTGTATATTTAGGGAAGCTGAAAGATGGCAATCGTCAGATGGGCCTTGGCAGAAAGGTAGTTGAAGATTTAACAGAGTGCCTAAATGGAACATTTACACATGTTTATTGCGACAATTATTTCTGCAGTCCAGCACTCTGCAAATCTTTACTTGAGAAAAGGTTTGTATTGTTGCGGGACTGTGAGATCAAACGTCAAAGGGCTCCCTGACGAAATCAGATCAAAAAAGAAATTGAATGTGCTGGTGAAAAATGGCGGAGATTCAAAACAATTTCAGAAGGATGAAATTCTGGTTTCTGTTTGGCACGAGAAGAAGGGGCGCAAACCAGTCCTTATGGTCTCGATGAACTCAAATCCAGTGCAAGGCCCAACTTTCATAAATCGGCGTCAGAAGGATGGGTCGATAAAGGAAGTCCCTGGCGTTGTGCCTGTTCTGATGTGTAATGAATTCATGAATGCTGTTGACCATAGCGATCAGCTTTGCACTCTATACCCAACAGCTCGGTCAACGAAGCGATGGTGGCTTTACATAATGTGGTTTTTGTTTGACATAAGCCTGGCGAATGCCTTTATTTGTTTTAAAGAATCGCCGAACCACGCAAGAATAAATAATAATGGAAAGGAAGCGACAGTAAGTGTTCTTTCCTTCAAGAAGGCAATTGTTAAATACCTTCTTGAAGGTCAGAATTATCGTAAGAGGAAGGCCACAAATGGAGGTCTTTCTGACCACGGACACTGGCCAAAGAATACAGCATCAGCCAGAAGATGTAAAAATTGTATTTTGGACAAAAAGAGGTCAGAATCAAGGATAATATGCCAAGGATGCAGCGATAATGACTCTGTGCATCTTTGTATTGACTGTTTTAGGCCATACCCTGAAAAGAACATTTAAATTTCAGTGGGTTTTATTTACAAATTAACCAGTTTGATGCTCTAACTATATTTATTACCTGTTTAACTCTCTTTCTTCTCTTGTATATTTTTTAAAAAACTCTTTGGTTTCTGAGATATTTGAGTTTTTCTAAAGACACCTCTTTTCTTCTATTTTCCACAAATTGGTCTGGGGAAAAGAGCTAAAATTATGAAAAGGAGGCTGGGGTAAAGGGCTTTTGAATGCAATAATGTCTGGGAGTGAATGGGCTAAAAGGGGATAATTTGGTTTCTGTGTGATCCTGCAGTTTCATGTCATATCTGCATCCGTTGTTGACAACTTGCTATTGATGGAAACTGTTTTGTTAGTTAGTTCTAGATGAGTTCATTTGACCAGATTAAGGTCAACTTGTTGCAGCACCAAAATCATGACTCAGCAGATCTGGATACGTTTGGGTATTATCATGACTCAATGCCTTTAAGATTTCTTGTGGCATTTTCAGGTATTTTGGGTCATTATTTTTGTTTAGGTTGTGGGACCATTGATATTTTTATCATATTATATTTATCATATTTAAAGCTGTTTTTAGAACTTATACATTAAGAGTATTGTCATTTTTTTCAGGATTTTCCACTGCTCTGCCAAACATGCCTTGGTGATAATCCATACATAAGGATGGTAAGTGTGAAGTCAGTATTTTTGTGAAGATGAATTTATCAAAAACGGTTGTATAATTTTGTTGATGTTATATTTTGTTTTGCTTGATTTATTGAAAAGTGTCATTAAATTATAAAATATGTAGTTTGGAAAATGTATAAACCTATGATTTATGTCTTTGCTTACATTTCTTGTATTTGAAGGGTTGAGTTTGGATATTAACAAGCTATTAGCTTATAAAACCTTACCTATATGTGTAAAACTCAAGGCCCGCTGGCCACATCCAGCCCAGCCTGTAATTATATTTTCCCCGCAAGATCATTTTATATTATTGTGTTTATATAGTGTGTTCAATAAATTTTTACAAGGGAAGAAACACAGAATATGCTGTCTGCTGGATTCTGTGAATCTTGCAATAAAAACAAGATAGAATAATAGAATTATCATTTTATCTTGTTAAATTGGAAAATTGAAGTAATTTTATAGTATATTAAAAAAGTAAATTAAGTTTAATAGATGCTAATATTTTGTCTGACATACACGGCTTCATCAGATTAAATGTGTTCAATAAATGTTTATCCTCTTCGGTCTTCAACTGAGTGTATGTTTTGGAAATTTGGCCCCCTGTGTGATCTATTCTGACACCCCTGATCTAACCAAAGAGTTCTCTTTATATAAATTTACAGAATTATTGCAAAATTAGGTCATTAGCCACACACTCTATTCCCCATCCTGAATGCCCTCTATGTGTGGACTGTGATGTCAGGGAAGCGTTATATATTTGTGTGGTTTGCATAATTTTCTTGAGACACTTACAATCATAACATTGCATAAAATGAGGTAGAATGTAAAAAGGCACCATTTTGATCTTTTGCCCCCCTCCCCTCCTGTGATCTCATCCCTAGTACACCACTGCCCATTGCTTTCATAGTGGAGCAATATTAACCCAGGGCCAAGACAGTTACATTTCAATCTGTTTAATGTGAAAACAAAGTTCTGTGAGTGGGCCTAACTGGCAGTGTCTGACCAAGATTTGTTTAATCTTTGGGTTTCCAAATGTGTGGTTATCCTCACTTAGTAAACAAAGCGTTTTATATCTAAAGAAAAGCCAATTAACTCCAATAAATAGCTAACACAAACAAATAAAAGTAGATTGTAGGTGGCCATTCCCTATGCGTTTGATTCCAGTATCCCAGTTTCTTGAAGTAATATTTATCTTTTCTTCTTGTTGTCCTTCTTGTCCATAGAAGGTAATTTCATAAGCTTTAATTTTTATTAGGATTTATATTCTTTCAAGGCTCTTTTCTTCTTACATCTAATGTTTGTGCCTTCATTTTATCATTTACCCAAAGAAAGTTTATAGTTTTAGCCTCTTTGTATCAGGTAAGCAGGTATTTAAGTAATAATAAAATTATAGTGTGTCTTAGATCTTAGATATATCTGCTTATATTTACCTTTATATTTAAGTTGAAAGAAAAGTATGGCAAAGAGTGCAAGGTTTGTATCAATACACTTTTTATATTTCGTTTTATTCTTCAATTCCTCTGCTTTCTAATGCTAAAACATCTTGTTCACACTTTTATATGTCATGCAAAAGGTGCTAGTAGGAAGTGTGAGATAATCTTCTGAAAGTAAGTATGAGATCAGTTCCTTCTGAAACTGATCTTATGATACCACACCTAAAAAATAAGCAGTGGCCAAAAAGCTTCTTTTTATCAAGGTACGAAACTGTGGAACAGTCTTGAAAGAGAAACAAAATTGACACCCTCCCTGAAAACCTTCAAAGATGTGATCTACTGCTACTTTTACTTCATTTCCTTTTAGGACAAAATCTTGTAAAATAATGTAAATTGGATTTCTTAGTCCTAATGTTTTTTAACAGGTCAGGTTGAAAAACATGATTTTGTATGACCTGTTTACCTGTTTAATTATTATAAAATGAAATAAATAAAATGAATGATCCAACAGTTGTGGAATTAAGATTAGCATTTGTCACTTTAGAGGAGAATCCCTTTTGAATACAGCAGTTTTTTAATAATGTACAAGGCTTAAGCATGAAGTATATTTGGATACCTTTGCCTCTCTCTATCCATAAGTATTATTGGCCTATAATTATGTTTGCTCTCTCTGACTGCACTCTGCTATATTTTGGGAAAAGTGCAATATCGGTAGAGTACACAGTTGATAATGTTGATAAATATTAAAGGCAGTGCATAATATAATATAAACAACAAACTGACACAGAGTACCTAAAACCTAATTAGGGATATAGGAAACAATTCAAGTGATATATCTCATGTTTTAATGTAGTTAATGGGAAAAGAAGCGGAAGTATTTTAAATTGTGATTTCATTTTTTATTTTGAAATATTTTTTACCAGAATGCCATTCAATTTACATAACTGGTTTATAATCGAATTAAATTTGAAATGAAAAGTTTTCTTTGGTTTAAAAGTTATACCTCTGAATTACTTTGTTGTCTTTTAGTATAGTGAGCATTTTCTATTGTTCTAGATATGTCAAAGACCTTTCACTGTGTTTAAATGGTGCCCTGGTGCCAGAATGCGATACAAGAAAACAGAAATTTGCCAGACATGTTCAAAGATAAAGAATGTCTGCCAAACGTGCTTGCTAGATCTGGAATATGGTATGTGCATGTGGGACAAAGTTTATAATTTGATGATAAAAATCACCTGATTTCTGCAATCTTGCATAAGCAAAGGATAGTAAAAGCTGCTGGACCTCCAACACCCCTTCTCAAAGGCTCCTTTTAAATGGATTTATATGCTTAAATAGTCCTTTGGTGTATAGACCGGGTTGGTGCTAAGTTGCTACTCCAAGTTTCACGCTAAATGCGATCATCAGGCAATTGTTGAAACCAATCTCTCTATTACAACTAAATTTGATGACACCCCCATAGAGATAGATATATGTAGACATTATTCATTATTCAATAAATGATACCTGTGATTAACTATATCTTCACGTTGATAAATTTTGTTATGAAATTCAGAGGGTCATCCAGGGTCTTTGTGGACAAAAATATGAATCTATTTGAAATGTTCGAATCATGTCCCTAGGTTTGCCAGTGCAAGTAAGAGATACAGCTTTAGCTATCAAAGATGAAATGCCGAAATCTGATGTTAATAAGGAATTCTACACCCAGAATATTGACAAGGAGGTAAGCATACTTTGCTCTTTTTCGTGTTATCAAGGTGTATGTTTTTTGGCCTCTCGAGCTTTTTCAATCTAGGGAGGTGTTCAGGCCTCATTTGCCAACAAGGTGAGTGAGACAACCTTCATTTCCCGACAGGTTTGAATATTCACCGAAAAAGCACCCACACATGGCTAAAAATCCTCGTTTTTGATCTGAAGATCTGATTTGTATTTTACAGTAACTCAGCCTCTGTTTGTTCTTGATTTGTTCTTAACATTTGACCAATTTTGCGGCTCGTGTTCTTAAAAAATTGTTGTTATAAAAAAGAGTGTAATGCATACTCTCCAAATGTTAGATAAAGAATGAGTTGATAAATGGTACTACATACGCATACTATTTTAAGCCATATCTCAACAGCGTCGTCTTGAGTTGTAGATGCTGAGAGCCATGGGGCGAAGTGTGTAAATAGAATAAAGAGGCCTCGCAAAAATTTTGTCATATCAAAAGTCATATCAAAAGTAGAAAATAGTTGTATTCTTCTTTAAAGGCGTTTGACACAGGTAAAAGTGGCTTACAGCCACTCGACCACGGGCGGTTGACCAATCAAATTGCACAGAGAGAAAAACACGTGAACAGTTTCAGTCTTTTTGCAATCGGTGAAATCCTAGAGCAGCGCGCAATGGTTTCACGTGAGCGGTTTTCAGTACCTTTCTTGTGCGCGTGCTCTGATCAATTTGGCCTAAGTTATTTTTGGATTCGCTGTACTTATGCATGTCAAATACCTTTAAGAGCTCACTGTAAGCATTGTTACATTTTATGCTCCTGCAAAGGAAGCTCGTTACGCTTCTGAACAGGAAGAAATGTATTGTATCACATAAAAATAACTTCATGAAATACCATTAAGGAGACATACATTTTTGGTCTATGCTGGCGTATTTTTCAACATTCCTCTTTAATTTTTTGTAATTATTTATATATTTTCTGTGTTTATCTCTCTTACGCTTTATATAGCTTGCCAACACAGATGGCACAAATGCTGGTGGTGCAGTTGGCAAGTCTCAAGCTGCAAGCGACCTTCTTATGAAGCTAGCAAGGACCACACCATACTACAAACGAAATAGGCCCCATATTTGCTCGTTTTGGGTGAAAGGCGAATGTAAGCGAGGAGAAGAGTGCCCTTTCAGGTTTGTTTTCTATCTAATTTGTGTGGTGATTGTGTAAGTAATCTACTTTTAATCTAAGACCAAGAATCAAAGATTTTTGTGTGTGGTGGAATAGACTGACCATTGGCCTTTGGTTTCTAGCTATGGAGACAAACACTGTTACGCACGACAAGTAAAATTGATTTTAACAAAACGGACTCAGTTATACCTAAACTTTCTTTTAACCTCTGATACTAAGAGGCTCTTTTATTTTACATAAGCGTGTTTTTCAAAATATTTGTATTCTCAGGCCTAATTTTCTGACATTTCCTTGAAAAAATTCTCCACTTTCCGCAAGTACAAATTTTTATAATTAGTTTCAACACATTTACTAATACGATTTATAAAGTCTTGCAGTTCCACAAGCTCATTTCTTGCTCTTTTCGTCATTCAGACATGAGATGCCTACAGATCCCAATGATCCACTTGCAAGTCAAAACATCAAGGACCGATTCTACGGCTCTAGCGATCCTGTCGCTGATAAGTTGCTAAAACGTGCTGCCAGCATGCCGAAACTGGAGCCACCATCAGATAGGTCAGTTATGACCCTTTATATTGGTGGACTAGATGGTCGTGTAACGGATCAAGATCTAAGGTAAGAGGTGTTTGTCAGTACTTGGATAAGATCTCAGTCTTGGTATAGCGTGTCATTTTGGTCGTGATACTCAACCCAAGACCTCAAATCAGATCAACAGCCTTGAGAAAAGTTAAGACATTGCACTTTGTGATAATCAATGACAACTCTTTAAGTCACGCTATTTTGAGTGAAAATGTCACTCTGGAGGCTCGTCAACATTGCAAGAGGCTTCAGAATTCAACCTCCTCCTCTTCAGAATTAAACTCCTCCCAAGTCTTTAGGCCCCAAAAATTATGGTCACTACAAAGTCTTTGTTTCCTCAATAATGCGTTAAAATTTATGAGTCCTACCAGCCTGGGGAACATTCTCCTTGGGTCTCTGTTTTAGAGAGGAGTCACTAGAAACTGTATGTGCTCAAGAATTCCCCGCAGCTTCTTTGCGCTCTTTCGTGTTTTTCAGACAAAACAGTTGTTGAATATAGCACTAATCTTTTTATAAATAAATATAGAAGTCTCTTTACTTGTTCATTTATTTGTTGTTATTAACAATGTTTTAGAATAAGATGAGGTATTCACTTTTTTCTATGTTTATGTTATGTTTTTTATCCATTGAGAATTAAAGTAAGACATTATTTTGTTCGCCATTTTTCGTTTCCACGAACGACCCAGTACCAACGCAACGATTTTTTTCAGGGACCATTTTTATCAGTTTGGAGAAATAAGACAAGTGACAATGGTCACTAGACAAAATTGTGCCTTCGTTACGTTCACTTCGAGACCTGCAGCAGAGACGGCTGCTGAGCGCTCCTATAATAAACTGATTATAAAAGGAAGAAGACTTAAAATATTGTGGGGAAAATCTCAAGCAGATAAACCAAAAGCTGGGAAGGATGGTGGTTTACAGTTGACTCCCGTCCCTGGACTGCCAGGAGGTAGGTTTCTTCAATTATAGCACTGAGTTGTGGATATCAGGGGTCCTCTGCAGAAGGGGGGGGGGGCTCCCTTGGTATGGTTTCATGTTTTGGTGGCCATTGCTGTTCACAGCTGATTGTTGATAAATTCCGTTTAAAAGTCAGCACAAGGTAAATTTATGTGACCAGTTCCAGCTTCAGTTCCATAGCATGAATATCACGACTCTGGCGTATTCTAGTATGACCTCTCTTTTTCCCATACCAATGCTCTTACTCAATGCCTTTAAAGGAGCCTGTGCAACCAGCAGCCTTTGCGCGCTCGCATTTGTTTTGTTTTTCTAACTGTGTTCTTCTATGCAAGACAAAAATGGCGAGGAGAATTCGATGGGAAAATTCTGGCATCAATTTAGCGCTTCAGATCGTTTTGGAAGGCTTCAATTTAGTTTCATTTTGCACACAGCTTGTGCTAACAGCTTTCCACCATTTTCGTGGACCACGAAAATGGCCGCCTTCCCAGCTTACGCCCGCAAAGGCTACTGGTTACCCACGCCCCTTTATGATAATGACCGCATTAATTATTGAATGTCTGATTTTGTTCAAAGTATGCAGAAAATTTTGGCTCAGGAATATTTCTTTTGTATATTAATTCATGATAATAATTTTATGGCGTCATGAGGTTTCTTCTTACTTTTGTCTTCCCTCGAATTAATCCTGTTATCACAATATCAAAAAGCGTTTGTTTATAGAAGCTATATTAGTGGTTTATGCGTGGTACGTCAGCTTCAAAGAACATCCTAGTATTCACTCTTGTTTGCTTTTATATTTGTAGCGCTTCCCACACCGCCAGTAAACTTTATCAAAGAGAAGCAAGGTGACGAAAGCCAATCAAATGCCACTGAAACATCATCAACTGATCAGGCAGAATCAAGAACGGCGCCAACATCAAGTCACAGCATTCCCATGCCACCAGCATTGCCCCCTATGCCCCCTCCACCAAGACTCCCTATGCTTCCTTTTCCCCCTCAGCAGGGTGGTCCCTCACACAGAATTCCACCCCCAAGGATTCCACCACCACCTCCAAGAGGCCTTCCTCCCAACATGCCACCACGATTCTATCCACATCCAATGGGTGTACCTCCTCGAGGGGGACCCCCAGGGCCACCTCCTAACATGCCCCCAAGGCCACCTGGTCCTCCACGAGGAATTCATTACCCTTCACAGGATCCGATGCGGATGGGTGCGGGAGCTGAGGGCTAACTTCGGTTGATGACTGCATGAAACTGAAAGTCTGTGATCAATAACCTATAGCAACAGATGGCAGCATAAACGATATTTACTGATGAAGCCGTAGAGCACTTGACGGATGCTGCCATCCACAAGAAAAAAGCCACGAGATTTCACATTTCTGTCAAGCCGTGTCTGTTTTGGCTTTCCAGTACAGAATTATTCAGAATTATTCATTGGCTGATATCGTGCCCTAATGTCTCTTTTTTTGAAACACCGTGTCAACTTCTGTATCATTAACTCTTATTTTTTAAAACTTTTTTAACAGTTAATTTAAAATGGCATAGTATCTCCATGAGTTCGAAAATGATTGAAGAAGAAATTTGTTTTATGTAAAATCAACTTAGGGGGCAGTTGGGACAGGTTTTTATCTCCCTCTCTTCCTCATCCTCCTTAATTTTCCTATGTCAGGGCTTAGCTGTAATGTCCTGGGCTTTTCTCTAACATTACCTAACATTTATCTCAGGTGAAGATGATTGCTTGAAGTGCCAGTTATTCAAGGTAACCCTAAAATCAAGAGCTATTTGCATGGCGAAATTCCAATTAAGGCAAATGACTTAACGTAATCATAATCTGGACTTTGTGAAATCCTGTTAGTGCACATTGTCGAGTGATAGCAGAAGAAAATTGAAAGGAAATGATATCACCAATATTTAATTTAGGGTTGATTGCATTGTACCTTAATTTTTTCTTATCTTTGAATTTTTTTGTCTAAGTATTGAGTTCTGGAAAGATTCTATGAAGCTGAGGTCTTGTAGTCACTTATTCGTTCTTCCTGATATTCTTCAGCTGGGATTCAGCTCTCTTGCGAGATTTACGGTGATTTAAGTAGACCCAGACCTCTTCTTATGTGCATATTGTATATTTGGTTGAGTTAACTCATTAGCTAGCAAATGCATCTACAATCCTGGCCAAAAGGTTAGTGGACTGGTGAAAAAACCACTAAAATTGCAACTTGACCCCAACAATATTATCAAAACCCCCCACCCCTGAAGCAATGTTGGTTTGTTCTTAAATACCCAAGTAACAGCAATCGAAAAGAGTAGAAATAAGCGTATCAACATTGACAGTGGGGGCGGGGAGCGTATTTTTCAAAAAATACTACAATTTTTCAGCCCAGTCCAATAACTTTTGGCCAGGATTGTAGGTGTAAACCCATTTTCTTTAGTTGATTTCCCGTATGTGGTTAGGACCTGTTATAAAAGCAATTAAAAACAAAAAACCACGGTGCATTCCACGGATTTAGTGGCTAAAATGGGGGATGGGGATTAAACATGCTAAAAACCAAAAGAATCGCGAATTTTTGTACGGCGTTAAATTGATTTTGAAAATGTTCAGGGAAGTCAAACCCCTTGAGCCTTTTCCCCGCCTTTGCTGTCCCTGAAGTCAACTGCCAGTTGACCATGGCAGGGCCCATGCCACGAATTTCCAGGTGGAGGGGCCAAGTTCTATACATCGGACTTAAATTTAGTGCTCCAAAACAAGGCCTCTATGGAAATGTTTGTGCTTACCAAAAAAGTGGGGGGCCATGGCCCCTCCGGCCCCTTTCCGGTGGCATTGGCTCTGCATGGTACCTAGCGAAAATTCACAGAACAAATGACCTTGCAGGTACTTACATTTTCTTCCTATAAATCGGTCATCAAGGTTTTCGAAAAGCCAATATTTGAATAAAGTTTTACAGTTCCCATCTTGCTCTTATCGCAATCAGAAGTAGATTTGCTTCATCTAAACAACTAGTACGAAAGAAAAACTTGCAAAAGCTCAATAGCGTTATCAAACCCATATGTAGATTACCGCTGATTTGGTTTACGAAAGTGACCGATTTAAAAAAAGAAGCACTTTCCTTTAGTAGGTTCGCGCTAAGGTTTATTTTCACGAGAAACATTTATCCATGAGAAGAAATAGCAATTTATCATATTCAATTCAATTTTTCATGATGACGTCATTTAACAGTTTGATTGAGTTGGATAATTTACGTCCACGAGTTGAATTGGATGAAATAATTCTTCGCTTAGGCCATAGTTAATGGCGGACGACAACAGCGGAAATGACGGCGTTAATGTTTTTCGGTTGTTCTTTTCTTGGTTTTGGACCTGCACTGGCACTGTTTGTATTAACTGTTGCCCCTGATGCACAGCAAGTAATCGTGATGATAACAAGGTGAGTATATTGAATCAAAACAGGAATAGGCTCTGCATGTCGTTTTGAAAATTGTAAAATTTCTTGATCCATACATAGATTAGTTGTTATGAAGTTCCCAACAGAAAACCATAAATAATTAAGTGAGCGAAACTGCGATTGTCTAAGTTGCCTTCCATTTCTATGAATGATTAAGACTTTTTATTAGATTATTTGTAATTTAGGCCAAGATTGTGTGTTTCACCAGCTTGGTATAGGCCTACACATGCTAATTGAAT